TATATGGCTATGAGGTGTACTGATTATTACCCCAAAACCCCAAAACCCCTAAGGAAGAATACATATCATTTTATGATTAATCTTGCATTTTCCCTTATTAATTATATTTAAAATATGTCAGGACCATTTTCGCTTTGGAATAATAATCAGTACACCTCATAGCCATATAGTAATTAAGGGTAGGGACCACCTCCAGATTCATTTGGTGATTCAGATCCAGCAAAGCAGGCTAAGCTTTTTCGAGAGCTTTAGGAATAAGCTTAATCACTAAATCAAATGCTTTAGAGGAGCAACATCACTGATGTGCTTTACTCTACCGCCACTGGGTCAAATGGACTTAATAGTGGGTACATAGGGCTCTAATCATCTATGGGAGCTAGACTCGTTCATGGAGCACCAGCATATGATATTTCTGTGAGATCCTAGGGTGCTAGGTCAATAGATTAGATACTGCAGAGTCTAAAGTAGAAAACTTAAGAATCTCAGCTGAGAATGGATGAGGCAGCAGAAAATCAGTCCAAGGCATTCTTCTCAAGCAAAGGTATTGATGTTGCAGAGATCGAGCATTAAGTCAAAACTACAATGAATACCTTTTCTCTTTATCAAAAGAAATAGCTTGAGGTTAAAGAAAAGCCTCTATCCGCAATACATCATAAGAATCTTATCTTAAAGTATGTAGATAGTGGAGCAGGTGAAGATAAATTGACGCTTAGTAACCAATCATATAAGGAAAAACTCTTAGCAGGACCCTTATAATAGCCATTGTTTATAGAGTATAAGTAGGAATTGGGTCGATCCTTTGGAAACTAATTGGTTGAAAAATTCAAGCAAGCCTCTAAAACTATTTAGCTCACAGTTGGCAAGAAAATTACAATGGCTCCACCAGGAGAGTTCTAGTTAGTTCAATCCTCAATTCAAAGAGACAATACTCAGCAGGCTCCTGCATAAACAGTGATCAAGACAGATAAATATTTAAATGAATTTAGAGATAATGGTTCCCCTATGAGTTACTAGTTGCTGAGAGATATTGCTGAGAAGCGAGTCACAGTTTTTTACGACGACAAATTTATGAGAGAACTCCAGAATAGAGTCAGCTAGAAATTCCTTCCACTAGACTATCAAAACAACAGGGAAACATTTGAGGCTTACTCTATGGGTCTTAAGGGATACACTGAGGAAAAGTACTACTCTCAGAATTAAAATCTTCCTGCATACATAGATAGAATTATTACTTATGAAAGAGATAAGACTAAAGGCTATATATACAGTAATGCTATGAATGATCTTGATGGCAGCTGGACTTTAAAGCAACAGATGCATTAGACATTCCTCGATACTTTTGAATTATTGAGTCAATTCGCCAGAGCCCCACAACTAAATTAACTCAATGATAGAGACTTATTCTTAGATTCTGTAAAATACCAAAGGTTTATAGCCAGAAGTACATGTGAATTCCTGGAAAAAGACTACAAATTGAATATGATACCTTAGAATCCAAATATTGTTGAAGCATTTGAAGAGCATATAACTAAATTGCTCTCAAAGTATGAGCTCAAGAATCCTCAATACTATATATTCTATCACGATGAGACCCAAACATACCCATTCGGAGTAGCATTCTTCATGTTTAGAACTGGTCAGCATGATCACGCTATCAGATATTTGGAGTAATTTCCAGATGACTAAGTCAAAAAGTTTGGAAATATGTATAAGAGATACTATAAAGAATATGAAAAGCTCATTATGCGTAGCTAAGTAGAAGCTTTTTAAAGGCAATGCTAAGTTATCACTACAGGTATCAATGATCTATATCTAGAGGCATTAATAAGCTTAATGATTGGCTCAAAATTCTAATGCTAAGATGAGCAGATTTTCTACGAAGTTCTTACTGGTTATGAACTTGAGACCTAGCTTTGGTTCAAGGTAATTTCTTAAAATCATTAACTTTTCTAACCCTTTTGAATAGCTAAAACTAGCTTGTTATGAATATAAGGCGGAGGATGAAAACCTTTCTAGCTTTTAAGAGCCTATAATGCTTCCATCTGACTATCAAACTCAGAATCTTGAAGATTTGCAGAAATTTATCACAGAGACTCTAGGCCCATAGGAATTTAAATAAAATTCAAATAGTGAGGATCCCTCTGATATCCTTACCTACTTCAAGGTTTTAATTATAATCGGGAAATACACTGAAGCTATAAATGTAATAAACTTAAAAACTTAATAATCTAAAGGAACTGCTGCAAGTCAAAGACTTTTTCATTCAAGGAGCGCATATTGCTTTGATCTTGAATGAACTCGGAATCTTAAAGACCCGTTATGGACTCCTTAATTTCATCTAAGGGCCCTTATATGATATTGCTAAAGAAACTCAAGATGATTTGCCAAAGTAAGTATCCATAATATAATCCTTTATATTTAAAATCTGTTTTTAGGATTCTTGACTAATGCTTTGACCTTCATGGATGTGTCATATAACTTATAAAGCAAGCTGAAACCTAGCAGTACTACAAGACTGAAGTAGTATCACTGATTCTTTGTTTGCAAGAATAGAGTCTAGTTCTCTATGAACTTGCTTAGTATATAATAAAGAACGATTTGTATGAGTTGCTACTTGAGAGCGATCCTTTAATCTCAATACTTGGGGGTTTTGAAATAAATAAGCAAATGACCCTAAGGGCATTGATAAGTGAGCAAGTTTACATTGAACTTGTCAAGAAGGTTGCAAAGATGAATGAAAATACCCTTAACGCTCAAATAAATGTCCTAATCTTTGATAAGATTCAAGACTTCGATGGAGTGCTGAAGCAGTTAAATGCATTACAAAGGGATTAAATCTAGAGATGCATCCATCCATACTTTTTAATTACAGATCTGACCAACGAATAAGCCTAAATGATTGCTCTCCAAGATTTCTTAAAAAGACCACCATTCGATGAAAGCGAGTAGATCTAAAAATAATACTCTTCGTTGCTTAATCAATATGAAAAGAAGAAATTAAAGCAAAAATATTAGACAAGATACTTAGTACTTGATAGTCTAGGTTTCATATTCTAAGCGGTTATGAAGATTGATTATCAATAATTTGAAGCAGCTCTAGCAGATTTTGGATAATTATACTTCTTGCCTGTCAAATTGAAAGATGATCCATATCAAAAAGCTAAGTTATTTGATAATCTTGATGAAGAACTAAAGATCATTGTTTTTGATATCCTAATTGTTATTGGTAAATGCATTCAACTGGCATATAATAATATAAAGAAGGATACACATGGTTTGACTGATTTAAGCAAGTTTAATCAGTTGAAGTTGGACAAGCTGTATGAACATAGAAATTTATTGGAAAGATTAGCGATTTACCTCGATTACTTGAGATAAAATATCAGCAACAAATCACTTGATGAGCCAAGATTAAGAGAGGTTCATGCTTTTATAAAGAAAATGCAAATGAATGTTGCTTGAAGTGAAAAGGGAATAATATTGAATTGATATGAGATATTTGGCAATTATTAATTAAACAATAACAAAATCATCGATCTAAAATTGCTTATTAGTAACTACAGGGGTTTTGGGGTTTTGGGG